AGAGCATACTTCAAAGCGAGTAGTTCTTAGTCATGAACAGGATTTTTCTTTTCAGCAGATTTAAGCTGTCGATACTCAAACGCAATGACGCGCTCACGTCCATCGACATCTGTTTGTAACAGAGCACTGCCTCTGGCGAAGTCAGATGCGTCACAGACGACACTGAAAGGCCGATCAGGATCGGGCAAAGCCAATATTGACGCATAAAGGAGACTCTCCTTAACTGCTTCAAAAGCATTATGGTCGGTGTTACCCCAACACCAATCCACATCCTTTTTAAGGAGATTGGACAATGGCCGAGTTATATCTGCGTAATTCGCACTGTACTTCTGTAAGTAATTGGCAAGGCCAAGCCACTTACGCAAGTCCTTTTGGTTCTTGGGAACCGGCCAGTCGACTATGGCTTTCACCTTAGCGGGATCCGCTCGAAGGCCTCGCTTCCCAATGAAGCACCGTAGAAAGAGAATCTCTTCTGCACAAAAGATGCACTTAGATGCGTTAGCATACAACTTATTCGTTCGCATACACTCGAGCACAGCTCGTAAAAGATCGATGTGGTTATCCACATCTGATCGCCCATTCATTGCACTACTAAGGACAAAAATGTCATCAAAGTACGTTTGTGCATAGCCTCGATAAGGTCTGAATAGTTGTGTTAACAGCCGATTAAACGTAGCAAGGGCGTTAGACAGCCCTTGTGGCATAACGAGCCACTCCCAGAGCATACCGCTCGGAGTACTCACCGCTGTTAGTGGAATATCACTTGCTCGCATACGCAGTTGGTAATAACCATCGACTAAGTCGAGTGCACTGTACAATGTACATCCCGCCATATTGTTCTGAAGAACATCCTTTCTAGGAAAAGGCGTCTACGCCGGTACAGTGGCTGCATTAAGCTTATTGTAAGCATGCACAATACGCCACTTGCCATTTGGCTTTTTGACACAAAATGTCGGTGTTGAATGGGAAGACTTGCTCTCACGAACCATTCCAGCCGCGTGCTTATCACAAAAGAATTCGTCAATGACGTCACACTGTTCTTTATGCAAAGGCCACTGCCGTGATACGCAGTATTCAGTTTCTGCAACTAAGTCAATTTCATGACGTACACCTCTATCGGGAGGTAAGGCAGAAGGTGGGTTGTGACACACCACATCTTGAAATTCCTTAACTAAAGGATAGAACGGATCCAAAGGATCTATAAGGATCGAAGATCAACTTCGTGAACTAAGTACCGCCTTTGTATCCTCTAGGACAGACTCATCCGTTAACGAGGAAAGATTCAACTCAGCATCAGGTCTAATGACCGCTAATTCGGATAACTCTCCTGCCTTTGAGGCCTGGCTAAACTCGCAATTAGACATTTTGTCTAGCTCACAAAGAGCGTCCACAGATGGAAGGGTTTCGAGGCAAACACTGCCATCAACCTGACCAGTCACTTTATTAACAAGTGTATATAGTGTATTACTATTATCACTATGTGACTGTGAGGACGCCTGGCGCTTAAAAGCTGCTACCCGGCGTCTCGATCGTCTCTTCGAGACCCTACACCCCTTAGGGGTCGGGACAATATTGTCCCCATGGATACTACCGACCATAGTACGCTCTATACGAGAGCTTTTGTCTTGACCGACATCCGGTGAAGTGTTACATAACTCGAACACTTCACCCAGTGGATTGAAACAGGCCACTCTACGTGTATTATGCGGGTCTAGCCCTAAATTGAAGGACTTCTCGCCAACAATGTCATTACCGATATTAGGTGTGGTGCCCTCACGGCCGCCCACAATACACGGCGTATCGCCAACAACGCCATTACCGATATTAGGTGTGGTTCCTTCACGGCCGCCCACACTAAATGGCGTATCGCCAACAATGTCATTACTGACATTAGGTGTGGTGCCTTCAAGGCCGCCCACACTAAATGGCGTATCGCCGACAATTTCATTACTGTCATTAGGTGTCGTGCCTTCGCGGCCGCCCACACTGAATGGCATATGGCCAGCAGTGTAATTACCGACATTAAGTGCGGTGCTCTCACGGCCGACCGCACTCGGTGTAGTTTCACGTGCCACCACACACACATCAAAGGAATCACATCCTTGATCACTCGGCCCTAGGCCAACCATGCTTTCAGCATGCAGTGACTCGTTATCACAACGAGTACCACTCAACGGAGTACGTGCCGTTTCACTAGTTTTAGACGAGCTAGGCTCGAAACTTACGTTTTTAACGTTGGAGTTAAATAACTCAAACATTCCAATTTCCAGCACATTGACATCTTCTGTCAAAGGCTCGCGCCAATAGTGCTTCTGTTGCCTAGCAAAGCTGGGTTCAAGACTCTCCAAAACTTCGCTAGGAGCATTGCGCGAGGCGCCTTAAGTCTTAGACCTTTAATCGATCCTTGGATCATGGCGCTCAAGCCAAGCCATACCTAGGATGAGATCATATCTCGAGTCTAAATCTAGGACAAGACAGCGCTCAATACTGTCAAAGTCTAAAAACTTTATACCTAAGTTCAATGGAACTTTAGGCACCGTTACGCGACTTCCAGTCGCTAAACGAACCGTGATAGAATCACCCTCATGCGCTGTAAGCGTCTCAGCATAACGCTGACTTCCCTCAAGGGAACGGCATCGAGTATAATTGCAAGACGCTCCAGAATCGATCAATATCGACCAAGGCTTCTCGAAGCCCTTAATTTTCGCCTCGGCGACCAACAAGCCAGACTTGTGTACACGCACCATAACTTTAGGTATGGTACTCTTTGGGGCTAAGCCCTGCATTCCTTTACCTTCTAAAGGTGTAACAGAACATAGTTCTTCCCCAGTAGGGCGCCCCGCGCCTACTGGGTGTCGGCATTTCTCCGTGCCATGCCAGACTTCTGACTCGGGATAAGGTATTGGCCTTTAGTCTGACGCTGTTTACGCAAAGAGAAACCAGGCCGCAAGTGGTTAGTGTTTCCGCACGTAAAACATCGTCGTACAACGCGTTACTGCTCAGCAGCTTGAAGTTCGACTTCACCTTCATCTTCAGCATAGACGACATCTATGGGTTCCGGTCTGTTAAGGGCCGGACCACTTGTGGAGTTTGCTCTCGCAGGGCTAGGGTTGTAACCATTCTAGCCAAGCCTAGCCGACTTGAGGTTATGCTCAGCATTAAGAGCAATTCTCACAGCCTCTTCAAGCGTAGAGGGGTGAACCCGAAAAACCTCGGTTCTGACAATGCCAGAACTTAGCCCTTCCGTGAAGATAGTCACATGGACTGCTTCAGGCAAAGCGTCAGACTGCATTGCAGCCATGAGCGTTCGCATCTCTTGGACATAGTCCGATAATTCATTCGCATCCTGGCGGGGAGCCAAAAAGCGTGACCGCATGCGGTAAGCCTGGTTAGGTGGAGAAAACACCTGTACCAATTGTGACTTGAGCGACTCCCATGTGGGAAACGCTATGTCCACCGACGTGCTACACGTCGAGGCCCATTCTCTAGCTCTTCCATCGAGCTTCGAGATAGCCAGCAAGACCTGTTGATGGTCAATCGTGATCAGGCCTGATGTCATGGCCATCTCAATCTTACGGATCCAGAGGATGAGGTTCTCACCCTCCTTACCGGAGTAGTTTTTCACTTCCACTCTGAGTGGACGAGGCCTAGCCTCTTCGTCTGGTACAGACACGTAGCGTGTAGGCATAGTCGACGCTATTTGGTCTTGGACCTGCTCTAAAAGGGTCGCTTCATACTGCATGAAGCTTTCAACACGTGCATTAAGCACCTCAGGTCATTGTGAGACAAACAACTCCACGCACTCTGGACCCAAAGATGCGGTCAACTTATTAAGCGCGACCTTTTAAGCCTCAGAGGGAGTAGAGTTTTCCATCCTCACAGAGGATCAGTCTAAAAGACATAGGCGTAGATTGACTACGAGTGCTACCAAGTGTAGCGGAGCTACACAGCTCCATAAGTCAGAGGAAGACTTAACGCTCTACGAGCAACTTAGTTCTAAAGAACTAACGATTTTACGAGTCAACAAGCTTTACAGCTTCAGATCCCTGTTCCAGGTAACCTAACGATCCAGTGAATCGACAGCATTCAGTGCTCAAGAGTAGCTACCTCAAGGAGGTGTTGCTTACTCTTAGTGATCAGTGATCAACGATCAAGATAACTCGCACGCCACGTGTCCTTTAGATCAAAATGTAAACTGCTTTTATTTGATGTTGAAACTTATAGAATATCTCAATCCTACTCAAAGATCTTTCGTACCTAATGGCTGACATTCGTCATCCCCTACAAACCAAAAGGATATTCTCTATCACCTTCACAAAGGGGTAACTTCAGGTGTGTAACACCTCTGGTACAAAGTACCATAATTTCTTGCTACCCGGTTACAATTACTCCTGAGACCGAACGTCTCCCATCGCTGTTGCTTACTCAATCAGCATCCGATCACGCCTTTACCCCAACACTTTCAGTGCCTTTGTATACAATGACTTTTTGGTATGTCGTCTTTAGATATCTTAAAACGTAAATAGCTGCACTCCAACGTTGCAATCCAGGTTTCTCCGGAAACGTGATAGTTGTGTCACCACATACGCAAAATCCGGCCTAGTACATGTTGTAATGCATAGTAGGCATCCTTTCAAGGAGAGATAAGGCTTCGATCGCATCGCCGAACGTCCTTCTTCCGTCTTAGGTGACTGTGCTGACAACGATTTCATTCCTACAGCGCATGGGTTGTACACACTTACCGCGTATGCTAATGCAGCTTCTGTAATGAGTCCGTTTTAATCAATCCTAGCAAGCTTCGTAGTCGGTGTTCCGTCACTTTATTCTGCTGATTCTTCTGCATTATTTGAGCCATTTCTGAGCAACATCATCGGCTAATGTCTTTCTCTTGCTCTCTCCACTTCAGGTCGGAACACTAAACGATCTTCTTGCTGCATTTGATGCGGTGGATGATACCTTTGCTAGTTGCATCGTGTCTTCAACATGGCGGTCGGGAGGCATCAGCTGTTGTGCACTGACGCTTGACGTAGAATCCACATCGTCCATCTCCACGTCTGCGACCGGATCTTCAACATCTTCCATGGGTTCGTCCAGATCTGGCTGCCCATCTTTTGATGCTGAATCTGTATTTCATCACTGTCCTTCGTCACGTGAACGACCGCTTCCGGATTTAGCACTTGAGTGTCGTAAATGCCGCCCACTTCACGATCATCCAACTTCATTGAACGCGTAACTTTGACATTGGCATTTCCGAGTCAAACACACGATAAACTTTGAGATTTCTTCGTTCCCGAAGAACAAACAATTTAAAATCTTTGGCTCCAACTTTGTTCTCTTTGGATGATTTATATGAGCAAAACCTTGCGACCCGAACACGTGCAAGTGGTCCATTTGGGGCTTTATCTTAAAAGCCAACTCATACGGTGTCATGCCGAGGTGAGCCGTATTCGTGGAGCGGTTATTAAAAAACCACTCCAATCACCGCTTTCGCCCACCAATCAGTTGAAACGCCTTTGTAAATTAGCATGCTCCGAGCCTTCTCCATGATTGTCCTGTTCATCCGCTCTGCCACTCCGTTCTGCTGAGGGCTGTAAGGAACGGAACGATGATGCACTATGCCGTTCTGTTGACATATGCCAGCCATAGTCTTGTTGACAAACTCTGATCCGTTGTCGGAGCGCAAACAACTCAAACGAGCTCCCCATGTGTTTTCGAAAAATGTCTTGGATTCCCTGAACATGCCAGTCACTCCATTCTTACTGTTGATTATGAATACCGCAATGTATCGTGAACAATCTTTTACAGACGTGAGAATGTATTTGGCACCACCCTTAAAGGGATTTTTCATAGGCCCCATGACGTCTGCGTGCACGCGCTCTAGTACACGTGTCGTCTTCGTCATTGAATGTGAAGAAAACGTCGCGACGGTCTGCTTTCCCTTCAAACAACCAACGCACAGTGTTTTCGTGCCTAGCTTGATTTTCGGAATGCCTTTGGTTGAGCGCTGAGTCTGGAGTAACGCGTCCTTGCGTGGGTGTCCCATACGGGCATGCCAAAGCTCCCACTGAGTGTCACCATCGGAATATTCCACGAGACAAGCTTCTCCTTGCTCACAGTCTAGATTTTGCTTTTCCGATTCTGGTCCCCGAGGCGATAGCTTGATCCTTGTTCCAGATGACATAAGACGAACGTGAGAACTCCAGATTCATGCCACGTTCTGCAAGCTTGCCGACTGTTAGCAATCTTCTATCGAGTCCTGGGATGTACATGACTTCCACCATGCGAATAACTTTTCCATCCAAACCGGTCAGCCTTACCGTACCGGCTCCTTTGACGATCAACTTCTTGCCGCCTGCAATTGTTACTTCGACGTTTGTCTATAGGTTCTTGTATTCGAACAAGTCCTTTCTGTGTGGGGTCATGTGGGATATTGCACCACTGTCGATCAGTCATCTGAATGATCTTCCTTCGCATACTGCAGATACCGCATCATCGCCGCCGATTTGTTTCCCGGCCAAGCAGTTCCGCTTCATGTGACCAAACTTGTCACAGCTAAAACACTTGCCCTCAAATCCGCCGTGATTGCGTGGAGCGCCACCTTTCCTACCGTTGCTCCGTCCACCTTTAAATTATCCAGGATTCCCATTCACGCGGAATGCTTTCTCCGTAGTCTCCTTTCTTTGCATCTTTCCTGACTCCTTGAGCAGCTTCTCCTTCACTTCAGTCAGCGTAATGTCCTTCGCATTTTCAACAATCGACGAACTCAGTTCGTATTCAGAAGGCAGACTGCTGAGAAGTATTACCAGCTGGCGCGACTCATCCATCGGACTTCCGTAGTCTGGAGTCCCACTACCAGTTCGTCGAAAGAATCTAGATGTTCCGCCATACTTGTCCCACTCTCCAGTTTGAAGTCGTGAAGATGACGCGTCATCGTCACACGATTGTGAAGCGTCAAGCGGTTGTAGAAATCGCGGAGCATTACCCATGCCTATATGGCGCGCGTAGCCGATCAAATCTTGGTTTGGTGCTGGACCTCAACCCCTTGAGGGATGATGCCTAGCGCCTTGGCGTCGTTTATTAGCTCTGCTTCTGTTACTTCACTCTCAGCCTTAAATACCATGACATGCCCTAAGAGACCCTTCCTTGCCAGGGTCATCCTCACGTCAAACTCCTAGTGGTAATAATATCCACTTCCCAGGATACTTCGGTTTGCTTGTTCGCCATAGTAGGCGAGGACTTGGTTTGGAAGGATGCTTTGGTTGCGGGAGTTAACCTGTTGCAAAAAAGGTAAAAACCGAAGCGAATATATTGAAGGTCCCTTATTAGCTACCCTTAGATCGCATTTCACTCATCTAGAAGAAAGTTGAGACGAATGGATGTCCACAGGTGTGCTGCCGTTCACTCGTAGTGTACGCTATCATCACAGTGCACGCCAGTACATATTTGATTGCCAGCGCACAGGTTCCAACGGCACGGCAAAATTTGATCCATGAACCACCGCAAGTACCACGTATCGACAATGGCCTCAACAACGACTGCACGAATGAAACCGGCAATGCTTGGCATTCGAAGCATTAAGAGCAAAAGTGGAACCCAAAACGTATTGACAAGGGTAATGTACACAGCTTCGACAGTGAAACGGTAGTTGACATAGCAACATACCCGTCCACCGAACAACGATCACATGGAACCGACTTCAAGGTCATGCCACCATGAGTAAGTGTTGATTGAGTGGATGTGTATCACGGTTTCAATGAGAGCATCCGTGCTGGAAGTTGTACTCACAAAGAGCAGCTTGGGTACGAGTCTCCACGGACAAGACGGACAGCGCGAGAGGTATGACTTGTTTTTTAATGTGACCACCTACTCTGCAATTTGTTGATCGACCGCGTTTTGATTCTTATCACAATGCTGTCGTCGTACACAAGGAAAGCGACTGCAAAAAGTCGCATCAAGAGGCACAGGAAAAACGCACATTGCGACCAGAGTAGATGACACATGTCGACAGTACACGAATACATGTAGAAACACTGCCTTCAGTACTAATGAGGGATTGGTATTCAAAGAATGAACGAAGTCGTTGTTTCTCGACTACTGCTGGTATGGTCACAATGGCAAATGGGATATCGACGGCGGCTGAAAAGCTACGGAAACTCGCGACTTCCACACAACATCTGATCCTCGACCTGAGCACCGTTGTGCATTCTTCTGAAGATGCGGGGTCCGCAAGAAGATCGAAATTCACGTGGACGACAGTACCCGCCGGAAGGGTGGTGTCATGCGCGTATAGCATCGGAGGACTGGAAGGACCATCGGTTTCGTCTCGACTTTCTAGTCGTCAGTGGAAAAACATCCGCGAAAAAGAAGGTGAAAAAGACGGGAGTCGGTTCTAGAAAACAGCCACCTCAGGTGTATGACATTTTGAATCGGACGGTTCAAACGCTACTTTCGACAACATTCGATCGAAGCACTTCAACATCATCATGATCGGTCTGCCTCTGTCTGCACGCCAAGAGAGCGGCGACCCACGTCCCCCTTCATTTCCCAATTTGCATCCAACCGCACGATCGACCAGTAGCAACAACCCACACACGACAAAGTTACGCAACCATGTTTAGCTCGTGGGATCTCGTACGACCGCGCTTCTGGTACCCCATGTCATCTCTGGAACAGTCCATGATGGAGCTCGAGCACATGAGTGACAGCATGATGCGACCGCGCTTCCCGTTTGGGGCGCGTCGAGAGATGCTCGCCACTCCAACTCCAAAGCACGTCATGTACTCCGGGAAGTCGACGGACGATGACGACTTCTTCGTCGACCTGCCTGTGGTGGCACACAAGTACAAGCCGACGGCGTTCCAACCGGTGCAAAACGCACCGCAACAGGATCAACAAGTATCCAGCACCAAGACATTGAAGGATGACGACCCGATGAGCCACTCGTTCTCGTCTTATTCGTTCAGTAGCTCGTCCGTTATGGACGACAAGGGTCGGCGAGTGACGACCACACGTCGCCGCTACGAAGACTCCACGGGTCATCTCAAAGCGGTGCATGAACGAGAGATCAACGGAAAGAAGATGCGCACAACTTGGCGACGACAAGGCAAGGGAGAGAATGGACAGCACGAGTCCATCTGCTCGAGCGGTAGTCCGGAGGAGTTTGAAGCACTGTGGCAGCAGACGCCATTCGGTGCGGCACAGAAGACGTCAGTGAAAGGCCAGCTGCAGGCCGAGTCAGAAGTTGATCGAGACGTGACACCGTCGATGACACCAGCGCCGCTGGCGGACACTACTTTCCATGAAAAGTCAACGGAGATGACATCGACGGAGAAATGCGCGGAGGTAGAGACAGAAAAGAAGCACAACTTGTAGTGTCCACTACCATGATTGAACAATTGAATGGAGGTTTGTTCTTGTGAAGAAGAAGAAGCATTCGTTGGTGTTACCATTTGCATTGATGCGCTCAAGCGCCGTCTATCTGCAGGCAAGCTGTAAATCGATACACTTGTCTGCATCGAACAGTATCCTCAACCGATAAGGACACACACGAGTATCGATATACGCGTTTACGAGTGTAAATGAATGAGACGTCCGACTTTTGGGTACCCGTTCATGAGAAGCTTTTGTTGCTTCTGGTGTCTCATCCAGTTAAGCTGCAGGATAGGAGGTTGTGGAGAGTTGAATTGTAGGACCTGAAATGCCTTTGATGCGCTTCGAGATTGAAGAAGTTGCTGCAACAGCGGAATATCGTGGACTTACACCGGTTCTGATCGCCATGTGTTATCCATGTGGTAACGATATCATGTTCCCCACTGTAACCTGAAAAGAAAGCACAGGACAAATCAACAAGCGAAACCGGTACAAAGCTGCATCAAAACTCCTCATTACGTGAAAGCTGAATGCAGGATCGATCTATGTGCTGGCTTCGTCGTACATCATTGAACTCGAATGGATGGTTCATCTCGGTCAATAGGGTACAATCAACATGTATAAGCTGTAGATGGTTGCTAAAAAAGGGGTTGCACGTAGAAGGGTACTTTGTACCAGGTGTGTCACACACCTGATGGTACCCCTTTGTGAAGGTGATATCGAATATCTTATCGGTTTGTTGGGGCTGACGAGTGTAATCCATTAGGAACGAAAGATCTTTGAGTAGGATTAAGATATTCTATAAGTTTCAACATCAAATAAAAGCAGTTTACATTTTGATCTAAAGGACACG